GTGACTCTGCATTCCTTTGTGTGCCTGCCCTGACAAATTGGTCACCAGCACTTTTATTACACAACCTAGCACTCACATCCAGTCAGAACAGGCTTCAGCAAACCAAATACAGCTGAGCCAACAGCTGTTACTTTTTTTAACTGTAAAGAACAATAAGGAGAGAGCAGACAGAGAGAGCTGCACATTTAGTCTTTATGCTCATCCAGGACAGATTATTTAATTCCAAGTGTCTTTATCACATTAAAGGAATCTGGATCGGATTTCAGTCTAATTTCGACAACTACAGTAGGCCAGGTTGTAGCGATCCCATTCTGTTGTCACATCACTCATCAGCACTACCTGGAAGAACGGACTACAATTTCCTTACTTCACACACATCAGTCACAGACCCACCTCTGCCGGCACACGGACCACCATTCATCTTTCCTTAAATTGAAGACGCATCGCCAATAAAGCGACACAAACAGAGTAAATTTATCTTAAATGCGTTATTCTCAAAGAAAAGAGAGAAAATGGTCCATATGGGAAGTTGAACAGAGGTTAATTTACAGACGGAGGTGTGTCACTTACTGCACCACCCCTTGAGTGCATTCTATTCCTTCCTTAATCTCCTTATCTTCTTTTCTGGCTTCTTTCCCACTCGTTCCTTTGCTTTCTGTCTTTTTTTTCTCTCACTCAATTTGGCTCTCCCTCTCTGCCTCCCCCAGATGCTGCTCATTGACAGCTCACTGGCTTTCCCTTGCTTAGTCTTGCTCCCTGAATACTCCTGTTCACTTTGAGCCAAGAGGCTCCTGCCACTAGCAGTCCATTAACCACTCCAGTTTCACGCTGGCACACAGTCATCCAATTCTTGAGCTCACAGCATGCTCCTCTTCCCCTGAGACGTAGTGAACAGGAAAGAGTGCATCTGTGTGTGCCTGGATGTGCATGTTTGGGGAATAAAGGAGATATACATTAAAAAAAAAGCAAAAAAGGCCTCTATACATCAAAGCAAATCATTACCTACTGTACTTAACTGTACGGCTTGAGTCAGACTCTGCAACTGAAGAGTCATGGCCTGACTGGCTTAGTACATAAGGTTATCTTGAATTAAGCATTTGCTGAGGTGGTTCCCCCAGGAAGTAGGTGCAATGCTGCACAAAGGCTCACACAGGCACAAGACTTTATGCTTAACATGCACTTCTCTGTTTCTCTTTAGATCAGAATTGAATAGAATTAAAACTTCCCTTGAACATTGGAACCATTGAACATGTTTCATTCCTACCATTTTCTCCCTTCACATCATAATATATTTATCATAACTGTCACAAACATGTTAAGGAAATCACTTTCACTCATATTTTTCTAAAACAACGGAAGTAATCCAACTTCTGGGTTTAGGTTGCCTGCATGTGCAAGTAAAAATATTCATAATATACATTTGCGTGGGGGCTCTTGGTTTGGCGTCAAGTATAAGGGGCTGTCTTTTCATATTCCAGGGAAAGGTCTTATCTACATCAACACATATAAATGCTGAAAGCTAAAAAGAAAATACATATGTTCAGTATGTTTCATGTGATCTGGCAAATTTGTGGATTTTTAAAAATGACATTACTGTCAGCGCTCTAATCAGAGGGAAATGTTATGTAATGGACAACATTCTGTGACACAAGGAAAGTTCTATTATATGTTAGTGTCTCCAACCCGTCCCACTATCAAATTGATAAAAAGAGCAATAATGAGTGTCGTAACTATTTAATAACCAATCAGGCTCTGAGAAAAATGAAACAATCTTCTATAAATCCTGGAACAACAACATCAACTTAAACAAATCAGTCCAAAAACTTCTAATTGGTCAGCTTGATAACTCACATTCCAAATCAAGGAGTAAAAATGTTTATGTATACCCGAGAACCTTCAGCACACATCCCACCTTAAAAAAAACTGATAACCTGCCAAACTCAACAACATACCCCAGAGCCGGAATCTGTGATCTACAATTCACCTTGTATCCTAAACAGCTGTCCAAGTCAGTGATCCCTGGCTAATCCATGCTGCCTGCCTGCTGAGTCGAGCCAGTTTGTTTATGTCAACAGAGTTCATGGATGCTGATCTTTTATGTGACTGCTGCCTGGGGAACACAGATAGTACCTCAGGGTGTGCAGCTATTATGACCAACTTCAGACAAAGAAAGTAAGCTATAAGTACCTGCAAGAACAGCAAATATAATTTGAAGCATTCTTGTTAAACAAAACTACTAGTTACATTTGCACAAAAAACACAGCCAGTGATTTGAACTGAGACACACACAGACTAGGGCTGTATTCATAAAATCAATATGGCAATATATCATCATATGTTCCTTGCAAATACATGTATGGATGCAGATGTTACAGAATCCATATGGCTGCAAAGCTGTGAAGACAGTTTTGAAAGACAACTGACCTTTGGTGCAGTTCACAATAAAACCAAAGCCATAGCTCTCTGGGATTAAAATGTTTTAATGCTAGTATCTCTGAGGACCTGAATTGAAGTTTTTGAAGTTGTAGGACCCTTAAAATGCCTCTGCTGTTGTTCTCAACAATACAGAACAGCTGTGGTATTGAATTCTGTGTAGAACATGGTCATTATCAAAAATCGAATGATATCACGATATACATCGTATCGTGGCCTCAGTATCGTTATACGTATCGTGGGATTGTGAAAAATACCCAGCCCTAACACAACCTCAGGCTTGCAGACATGCTTATACACAGCAGGGGATCATTTGGGGAGCAGCATGTTAGTGGGGGGTAGAGCTATAGTAAATATTACAAGGGTAATTTTTTTTTTCTTGTTTTGCTGATGTCCAAAATGTCCATCTTTCATAAATTCAATAGTTTATGTATGAGTTGAAGTGGCCCTTCAGCAGCTTTTTCCCACAACACACTACTTCAGAAGTGTTTGCTGTGACAAGCTCAAGAACAAGAGTCAACTGTCCAAATAATCCAACCACACTGCTTCATTCAGTCCTAAAAAGACAAAAAGATTCTCACAAGGATGTATTTTGGTTTGGTATTCTACACACACTGACTTGACTCCACACACACACACGTCATGAGTGGTATATATCTCATCAGCATTGGTATGTTTGAACAAGGTGAAAGGGGACAGTGATGAAGTCATAGATAGGTTAATCCAATAGACAAGATAGTTAGAGGGGCAAAGTCATGCCATATAGATCAAGTACACAGCACATATTTCTACACTCCTTAAACTCCCTCTGAACTCAGACTGTGCTGTCAGACAAAATTCCGCCAGGAGGGTTAGTATTTCAAAGTTACTGGTGTAATGAAGTCAAGGGCATACATTAATATAAGGTCAACACAGACATGCACATACACTAAAATACAGAATTGTGTATTTAGTGTCTTGTGGAAAATTGCACAACTGGTTTCTATTTGTGCCTCATTTTTCTTAATATCCCTAACTAAACCTGTGCATACTTTGTAATACCTCTCTCAATACTTGCTTCATTTCCATCTATTTTGGTCTTTTATTTCCAAAGGCTGATAAAGAGCTTACATTTCCAGTACTGTATAACTTTGACAGCTTATCACTTCTCCAGTGTACTGCCTGGATGCTAGAGTAGACGAACTGCACAAATGTGTTTTTCTTTTTTTCCATCAAGACCATGACTATTAGGTGTGCAACTAAATTGAGTTAACTAAAGACTATTTTACAATAAACATTACATTTTTCAAAACAAAAGCCAAACAAGACAGCATAAGTAGATGCCAGCATATATTTAACATTTTAGTCACTGAAATGACTGAAACAATGTATTGATCATTTAAAAAGTGGGCTACTATTATTTAATCTTAATTGACTAGGTTATTTATCGCAGACCTTAACTTTCAAAGAGTAATAGCCTCTTGCAAATCCTTATTACACATACTATTTGGTTCATAACGTGGTACTAATAATAAAAAAAGTTATCCATTAATAAAGAAAGGAATGAAAAAAGAGAAACTGAAAAGACAGTTCTATTGTGTAACCACATGTTTTCAGCGAGACAAAAACTAACAGGGTTGCTTTGGAGAGTGTATTTTGTAAACTCTGAAATTAAGCATGCGTTCATGTTTGTGTGGAGGAATTGTTTACCCTGGCTCACACGTGTGTGTTTTGTGCATCCTCTGGTTACTGTTTGTCTTTGTGTTCAATATCAGTTTTCAGCCGTTGCTAGATGTGGCCAAGGAGTTCAATTACGCAACAGCTTGACTGGCTGATGACAAGCATCACTTCGGGTGACTCTTACTGCTCTGCTCCCAGACTCACCTCTTTGGACTACATGAGCTAACAGCCAGGTAGATACTGCATGATGTCATCACAACTAAGTCACCCTGAGAAAATTCAATGTGTCAAGAGTGCCACACCTTGCAAAAGAAAATTGAGCTCATTAATTTCACACGCACACACACATCTAATAGTTTTTTTTTTTTTTAACAGCCACCAGGTTCTGGTTGAACATTTAGATCAGTATTTATGGCCTTTTGCGATTGTAATATCTCAGGAGGACAGTATAATTATGGGTTTATAATGTCAGTGTTTGTTGAAAAAATTGGGAGAGTCAGTTTTTTACTCATGTGTTGACAATTAATTTGACTGGTCACACTGGGCGGCTGGTGAACAGCTTTATAGGGGTTAAAGGTAATAACAGGTATAAGGGCAGTAAGTTACTTTGTAGCTTCACTTAAATAAGATAAGATAAGATAAGATAAGATATACTTTATTCATCCCAGCAGGGAAATGTAGGTGTTCCAGCATACATACAAACACACAACACATATATACATACATATCTCACCCATACAAAAAAAACATGAGCCCACAATACAGTTTGATATATGATATATGCAACTCAGGCTAAAGTTTAAAAGAAAACTTTCCGAGGAAGAAATGTAACCATCTTTAAAGTTAGATTCAACACTTTTGAACCCAAGTAAACAAACGGATCATGAATACAACTGTGGGATACTCACAAATTTCTTTTTCCCATCTCCATCCTCATAGTTCTTCTTCGCTTTCTTGTCCTTCTTTGGACCAGCAGCTGAAGCAGAGTTCCCTGTGTGGGGATCCATAGTTGTAAACTAATCCGTTTTCCTCGAGCAGCGTGTCAAACTAAACCTGTGTGGCGGTAAAAGTCCCCGGTAAAACAAAAGCTGCAGTACTCGGACAGGCGTTTCCTTTAGCTTGCGAAAGTAACAACAGTTAATTCCCTTGGGCCTGCGCTACTGCTGTGGCTAACTAGCCACAATTAGCACAGTGTTGCTAATGATTTGGTAGAGAGCCAAACAGGGAGCGAAACCCTCGCTAAGCTCGCCTGTCTGTTATGACTGAAGGAGGGAAATTCAAAGCACAAGACGTAGGTCCTCACGACGAAAAGTTCAAAACCGACCTGTTGCTTTTAAGGAAAATGCCCATTTGGACTTTTGTCTTCTACTACCCGCGAGTCACAAAAAACGAAGCTTTATCCATGTGAATTAGGTTACAAGTCCGAAAAGTAAACGATACCAACTGTGTGCTAAGGTTAGCTCAGCTAGGCTAACTTGTCAGGCTATAGTTTGTGTAGTCCCGAGAAGAGAAAAGAAGTTCGCCGTCCCCACTTCCACATGCAGTTTTCGGCGACAACACGGTGGGCGAGTTGGTGTTACGGATGACTATGACCTGCGTATCCTCTCAAATTAGTTTCCATGATTCTTACGAGTTTAGTAAACTTTTTTAACCCCTGAGTGACAGCAGAGAAAGCTCGGGTCTATAGCGGGGGGGTAGAGGAGTCTTCCTGTTCTTCTGACAGTCCGGACAGAGCGAGGTGGGGGAGGAGCCTGCGCGCGCGCGCTCTGTTGTTACACCTGAGAGGATTTGATCGAGACGCTGTCAGCACTCAGCTTCAGGAGTGTCTGTGCTTCCACAACATCATCAGTGTCTGTCTTTAGTTTAATTTTACAAACAGTGATGTAACCCTGCTGTGTCATTATTCCGTTTTTTTTCTTTTAATTCCACTATAAAGGGAAGAAAAATAGTTGGATGATCTGTTGGAAATTAAATGAGGAGAGTAGTGTAACCCTGCAGGCAGCGAAATTCAACAGTAGCCAATTAGGTTAATTTACTTTACTTTAATTTACAATTTAAATAGAGAATACGGTTCAGGGGCATTAGGAGAAAGAGTTTCAATCTGAAGAATCGCCAACTCTTCCTCTCCCATTTTCTGATGTGCATTAAGCATTTTTCAAATGAAGAACAGCCTGCAATAGATTCGTGTGATCAGTCGTGCAGCTTATGCCACTATTTATGTGTAGAGATACAACATTACAAAGATCTTCTATGACACATGCACATTCCTGTTTCGTTGACTTTACATTTGGATTGAGCAGAAAACGTTCACCCTCAGGCTCCAAGTTCACATCTCGATATTAGACAAGACATTATTTTCATTTTAGAAGTCCGAAAATATTTTTTATTATTTAGAAAAGTCCCAAAAGTGCAAATGTTGCACATCATCCGAATCATTATTATAGGCTGCATGTAATGAATGCTCACATGTGTTTGTCTGTCATAACTCCCCTCCTTGTAAAGAACAAGAAGTGCTTCACTCTGGTGTTTGATATGCTATTTTATTAAGGTGATTCATGGGATGTTACAACATGTGGCTTAGGCACTCTGTATGCTTTGACCGTGCAAACAAATAATCAGACACGGCGCGCCACCAAGCGGTGGCATGCAGACCCAATGTTGCATGACAAAACTTAATTTACCAGTAAGAAACAACTGTGTTGTATTCTTCTGTAATTTGTTCTCTTACTTTTAAAAGACTTCTGTGAATATAGGTATTTGCTGACTAATTAAAAATGCACAATGTAAAGACGGTATTGGCCAGTCATGATTTGACCCACCCTGCAGGCAGATGTGACGCCTCTCATCCTGAAAATAATTTTAAATAATCACCACAGATGGCGACGACATCGCCCTAGTGGAACTTAACCCCTTGTTTGAAACATTTAGGTGCACCAATTGAAATTCACAGGAATTCTTAGACTCTTACATGCGCACAAGAATGCCCACATACGCAGACATAAGGATTACAGAGATAGGCTCGTCTATCTGTCTCGGTATGTGAGAGATGTTTCCAACAACAAGATTGGGGAGGATTTGCGTATAACCGGTGGTACTGGGACTGACTACAGTTACAGTTTATCGCACAGGACTCTTCATAAAACTCGAGTCTTTAGTCTCCGGGATATTGGCGCCATAAATAGTGGGGGAGAGGTTAATTAAAAGTAAAAGTGCAGGATAAGGCCCCCGGCCCAGTGGCACTCATAAAAACTACCTGTTCGGCGCGCACCAAATGATTAACAGTTGACATCAGCAGCTGCAGCACCGCTATTCATGAATAGGGGTGGACAGATATAGAAAAAAAAAGACTTCCGAGTACATTTGAAAATCTTTATGAGACGATATAGGCCTGCAGTCTGTTGTTTAAGCACTTTACAATGGTGGACAAGACAACTAATTCACAGCCTACAAAATGCAGAAATTACTGTAGGCTCCTCTCTATGTTAACATAGATGACCTTCAGGGTACAGAAAAACAGATTCTTCTTAGAGTGAAATATTACGACTTTAGGAACAATCTCCAAGTTTCAGGTCAAATCTGTAAGAAACTACTAAAACATGGTTGGGAGTTAATACCACAGAGGAAATAAACCATTTATTTATAGGATGCAGTGCCATGGCATGGGGTGATGAATTGTTTCACATTCTACTTATCAATTGCAACAAAAAAAAACTTACATTAGGGGAAAAAAAATGCATTTGTACTGTTTTCTTTCTACACAAAAGTAGGCCAATGCCCGCCTTACATCTCCTAAAATGCCTCCATATTGACTGAAGTGATATTTTTTGGGAGGGGGCTGTGGACCTTTGAAGGGAAATTGGGCCAAATGATGTAATTCTGGGTACTGACTAATGATTTTAGGTTCTGTTGGGATTTCCATGACAGCATCCAAGGTGTCCAAGAAAGCTCGCAAAGGCAACAGATTCATGTCTTGTACGTGTAGCAGAAGAAGCAGTTCCGGGGGAACAGTTTGTCCTGAAACCCACCACAGGAGTGTGCCTATACCCCATAGTCCCAGAGGTTAATCCTGGTGGTCTTGCCTACTTGTAGGAGGTCCGGGCCTCTCTCAGTGACCTGTCATATGGCATGGAGGCGAAGAAAGAGTTCCGGAGCTGGCAGTTGATGAAGAACACAATGAGCAGCACTAAGAGGAAAAGCAGCAGGCACATGACTATATAGGTGATCAAGTCCGGTTTGTGGAGCTCGCCCTCCCGGAGCCCCCCTCCCCCCCGCGCCGTGGTGGGTCTCAGAAGGGCGGCCACGCTCACAGAGCCGCCGTGGGAGGCGTTCAGGGAGGCGGGGGCGTGCGTGGAGGACTGGGCCATGAGCACCAGGTCGAAATCTGAGGAGTCGGTGGAGTTGAGGAGGATCTGCCTCAGCATCGCGCACAGCAGGCTCACCGGTTGCGTGGGTCGGCTGCAGAATGAAAAGACACGGAGAAGGTTATGTATACTGACAGCGTGTTACTGGTTCAGTTTGGGGGGAAACTGATGAACAAGAACCAGGAGAGGTTCCACTGGGAAACATTTTAGGATCAGGCTTTAAGAGTATGCAGTATCACATCACGCGGATGTCTGACAAGGTCAATGAGAAACTCCAGTGTCACCGATAACGTGTACCCATACTGTGCGTGCCTGTCATGCAGTAGAAATTCCCTCATAGAAAATGAAACAAGAAGACTTTGGTCACTGGCTACAAACTATAGATTCCTGTAATTGGACCTTGAGATTTTGCTCTTTGTGGAGCCTCACGTCAACGTTAAAAAAAAACAATGCACATAGTTTGAGTTGAAGAAATGACTTACTTTGGTGTGCGCTGCGAAGGTTTCCGCAGGTGAGCTGGAGAAGACACAATCCCGGCTCTGCATTCCTCAGCGCCCCTAGCTCTGTCCTCTCAAGCCCCGAGGACGCGCTGTGGAGCAGCGGCGGGTCGGTATCCCCGAATCTGAGCCTACAGACCATTCGTCGCGTTGTGGGATATTAACGCAGTGTCTCCTGACACACTACACCCACCCGGCCAAACACATGCGTGAGCCCGGATCAGAGTACCAGTGAAAGAACCAAATTCCACTTGTTGGCGTTTAAATCCAGATCGTCCTGCCCACAACACCGGCTGTGTTTGTAGCCTTCTGTTGCGATATCCAGATGACTTTAAGGTCTGTCAGAGGTGGTGAAGTTTGACAACGATCGCTGGTGCGCACACATGTCCTCTCGTGCGTCGTGGTGCGCAGCAACTAAAGCAAGATCGCCTTTCCCTGTGCGTACAGGGCGCAGCTATGGTGGTTCTTTTATCCGGAAGAGGGTCGATACGCGCTAGTGAGATGCTACCAGCAGCCTGCCCGCGTGGGACTATTGATCCAGTGTGACTAAAAGGAGACGAAAGGATGGATTAATGGAGGACAAAACACGGCAGCACCTCGGGTCTTAAACGACTTCCAATTGTGTCCTGGATTGCGTGCGTATCACGGAGCAAAGGGAAGAGAGAGAGAGGGAGAGAGAGAGAGAGAGCGCGTTGCAGATCAGGAGAGGGGAAGGAGGGCGCTGGAGGCACGTCAAAGGACAGATATGTGTAAAGGGAGAGTCACAAGAGAATCTCCTATCTATCTATCTATCTATCTATCTATATATATATCTTTCTTTCTTTCTTTCTTTCAAAGAAATGACTCATTCACTCATTCAAATAAGCCATTTCAGGGCCAAAGTGGGGAATGTATCACACTGGGGTGAGCAGAAAACAGGAAAACGGTGTGAGATTGGTGAGTGTGTGTAAGAAACTCAGGTGATACATTTAACATTTTAGAGAAAGTTTATCAGGTGGCCCATGTCTGGGTGTAAGTGTCTGACTTATTCCAAGTGCTGCAGATCCTCTTCTTAAAGAAAACAAATATATACAAAATAACTAAAAACCGTTTACCTAAAATATCTGACTTTAGTGTGTGTGTGTGTGTGTGTGTGTGTGTGTGTGTGTGTGTGTGTGTGTGTGTGTGTGTGTGTGTGTGTGTGTGTGTACACAGAACATTGTATTGTGTTTGCTCTCTGTGAAATAGCTTTGACATTGGTGCTTGACACTAAAAAGAAGCTGCTAAAGATGGAGACTGGAAGCCAGTTTGCTCTGACATGATAGTTCGGACATGAGCGTGCATACAAAAGGACTAGACCCTAAAAGCTTTGCCGGTCTGTTTCATATTCATCTGCACCTGTTCTGTCACAATAGAGAGGCTGGCAGGCTTACAGAACAAGGACAGAGGGACACACACACACACACACACTCACTCACTCACTAACGCAGACTGCAGCAAAAATACAACAAACATCCGCAAATTGGGAAAGTGACTTTGATGCTACATGCACAAACACAAACAGACAATAAACGGTTGAGGCAAACTAGTCCCCAAATAAAAAAGACAAATGGCTAGCAGCATTCTGGTGTCCCACATCAACTTAGTTTTCGACAATAAAAAGGCTAAAAGTGGACCAGAGTTTGGGGAAATGTGCAATGTCTCATGGGAAATCTAAACCTAGCCAAAGGCCTTGTTTACATACATGGGGGACAGCAATAATTGTGACGGTTAAGGAGATTAGCGTTTATTATTGCTTTTTTGGGGTCTGCACTGCTTTGCTTACAGGCTTGCTGTTATCCTCATCCCCATCTCACACATACATTTACACAAATACACACATGCAAGACCAGCAAAATGAAAAACTCCTA